GTTTAAAATTATAGCATATTTTAAGGATTAAGTTTGTTAAAAAATTAACATGAACAATTGGAACATTTTAACATCGTTTTAGATTTAAAATTCCCTTTTATTAATGAAATTAAAAGTTTATCACGAATATTCCAAGAGTTTAATTGTAATTAATCATAAATTGTTTAATAATGTAGCATATTTTTAGGATTCCATTTTTTAATAAATGAAAATAATATATTTTCTATTGTTTGTATTGAACATTTTAAAAGTTCTTAATTTTTATTTTATATTACAAGTTTATCGCGAATATTTCAGAAGTTTGGTTTAATTTAGACACAAATTGATAAATATATAAGTTTATCGCGAATATTCAAAGAGTTTTTTATAAAAACCTCTACATTTTGTTAGATTTATGCTTAAAATAATTCAATTTAAAATTAAATTATAGCACTAAAAGTTGATCGAGACTATTCCAGGAGTTTAATTGTCATTAAACATAAATTAATATAAAATTTTCAAAATTTTGTTAAAAATTAAAAACTTTGAGAACTAGTTTTGTTAAAATATTAAATTTTTCTAATAATTTTATGTAAGTAAAATTTTATCGCGAATATTCCACGAGTTTCTTTTTTGTTTATGAAGTAGTTTTAGTAAAAAATAGCATAACTTCTGTAAATATCAAACGGTTTGGAAAAATTAAGTGATATTTTGTTCAGAACAAATATGATTTTAAAACGGAAACATAAATGTGTATAGTTCCCTAGAAAAATCATATAGGAATGGTGGTTAAAGTTCTATATTTTAGCCAATTTATATGCTTTAAAATAAATTTAATCAAATATTTTTCTCCAGCTAAGATTTTAAACAATTTAAGTTTACCACACAAATCTATAGCTTTAATAAACATATTTTACCAGTGAAAATGTTTAGATATGTATTTGTGTTTTATGCAAAATGCGGTAAATTTTTACTGTCTAGTGATTTTGTTCGTTGCCATATAAGAATAAATATATTATTTTCATATTTTTCAACTTACACGCTAGTCATGATGTTCTTAAACATTTACACTAAGCATCAACTATACAACTAGCCAAACGCCCCAACGCCCCGTTTTTTTCTCCAAACTATAAATGTCTAAGTATAAACAAGTAAAGTACCTAACAACATAATGCATTTTTTATAAAACATGTTATACTTAGTTCGTTCTTTCCTCTATAATAATATTGTATTTATTTTTTTCCCCACTTTTTATCCTTATTTGCTAAGTGGAAAAAGGAAAATTGGTAGCAGGAAAATGCAACGGGAACAAAATGGAAAGAAAAAAAAAAAGAGAAATTTATGTTCATTTCTGTTTGCTGCTTATGTGTGTTAAGGAGAAAAATGAAGAGAATGTATAGTTTCTTACGGTTATTGCCGTTAAGCTGATTTAACTAGAAAAATATCAATATTAAAACTAGTTTTTGAAAGTTATTAAGGTCTAGTATTTGGTTTAAAATGTTAAATTTAAACTATTGGTTTTAGTTACTAAGAATTCAAAAAAAGAAATTTTGATTAAAATTTTTAAAAATCGCTGCAAAATTACAGAAGTTATTAAAGTTTTCTTAAAACTTCTCATAATTTATATATAACTTAACTTAAGTCTCATTATATAGCATACTTTTAGTTGCTAGTATTAAAATTTTACAGAAACTGTAAATAGTTTAAGTAAAAATTACATATATTTCATAGTTTTCAGACGATTTGAAAAAAAAAAAAAAAAAAAATAAATGTGGTTTAAGTCAAATTAAAAATGACCAAGTTTAGAGAAAATTTTTTCGAATTTTAAAACATATTTTATTATGAATAAATTAAGCTATCATTTGTTAAAATCGGTTAAAAATTACCAAAGTTATTAAAGTTTTTCTAAAACATTTCATATTTTCTATTCAAATTGGGTTAGGTTTCAGTTTATAGCATACTTTTAGGTGTTAATATTAATATTGGAGGGACATTGTAAGTAGTTTGTGTAATATTTCGTTTTTCAAATTGTTGAATAATATAGATTTTTTTAACCAAGAAAAAAAAGAATATTAGAAAATAAAACTTAAAATTTTTCCAAAAAAAATAGATTTCAAAGTCGTTTTTCTTAACTTTTTTCTATAAAATTATGCTAATTTGTTTTATACGGTTTGAAAAATATTTTGTTCTGATTAAAATGAGATTTCATTTATAAAAATCGGTCGAAAATTGCCGAAGTTATTACAGTTTTTGTGAATTAGCCATATATTTGTTAAGGTAATCATTCATTTTATTGCCTACTTTTAGGCACTAACATTGAACTTGAAGGAAAACTAAAAGTTATTTTAGTAAAAATGCTATATTTACTTTTCAAGCGATTTTGTTTTACTAGATGTCATTATATTCAAAATTAATTAAGCTAATGCTTTATTTCATTGCCTACTTTTAGGCACTGATATTGAAATTGTATGGGAATTAAAAGTTGTTTTAGTAAAAATCCCATATTTTCTATAATTTTCAACCGATTTAAAAAATTTTAATGCTGTTTTATGCAGAATAAATATGGCTTTAAATAAAGCTATAAAAACGTTTATAGTTTCATAGGAATATTTAAAAGGAGAACAAGGCAAAGTCCAAAAAAAAATATAAATTTTAAACCCATTCAATATTTATTACATGAGATTCCTAGATTGCTTTATAAATCTATAATATTTCTGTATAATCACTCCAGTTTAATCTTAAATAGTTTATTTCACCTTTCTAACCCTAATACTTTCAATTTATCACGAAACTCTTAAGTAATCGTTAGAAAAAACTACTAGCAGCTCATACATAAAATCACCCAAAATTGGGGGAGATATTTTAGTAACGTATTATTTAAAAAACATCATTTTCAAAATTGCACTCAACATTTTAGGTAACGATTAGAGTAGCGAATGAAACTAATGTTTAAAAGAAATTTTTATATATTTTTTCCACATTTTATATTAAAAAACGTATGTATTTAAAATATGCGTGTAACACGCATATGAATTACTTTTCTTTATGCTCAACATACTCAAGGCAAACACTATTTTCTTTACATTTTATCTACAAACATTAAAACCCATGAAAAAACTATTGGCAACAAGGGTTGTGGCGGGCTTAACAAATAAATACGTGGTTGGTAAAAAAAATTAAAAATACAGGGTAAAGAAAATGAGAATAAGCAAAAAAAAAAAAACACGAAAAAACGCTAAAATCATGTAGTCACGACAAATTGTAGCAAATTGCAAAAAAGTATGTATTATATATTTTTTAAAATTTTTTTGTGTTCATAATAGAGGGTATTTGGTAACTGCTGTTTATTTCTATTTAAGTTTACTTTTAGTTGAGTATGTAAGTATATGTGTGTGAGTATTGGTGTTACGAAAACCACAATAACATTAAATTAAATATTTATAAAAGTAAATTATAGCCACAGGGAATACAAAAGTTTTATTTGATATTATACAATTGAAAAGTTATTGTTGTATTTGTTGTTGTTGTTTTTTTACTTGCTTCTTTGTATTTGTATATGGTTTTCTATGGCTTTTTGTTTAATTTTATAGTAATTTCATTGTTTTATTCAATTTTAAAGAAAACAATTTAAATAAATAAGTTGGCAAATTAAATTGAAATTAAAAATGTTTTTTTGTTTTTTTTTTTTAAGACTTTAAATAAATGTTAAAGTTTATTTTAAGGAAAAATGGTTTTAAAGCTAGAAATTTTTAATTTAAGATTTTTGTGTTATAAAATTATGTCTAAAACAATTAAACTCTTATACAAAAAAATCATTAAAAAATTTCTTTTATTTTGAAAGGAATTTTCTTAATTTTGTTCTTTAAAATCATATTAATTTGTTTAAACAATTTGAAAGTATGTTATATGACGAATAAAATGTGGTATAAGTTATTAAAATCATTTGAAAATTACAGAAGTTATTAAAGTTTTTCTAAAACTTTTACTTTTAAATAAAACTTTATTTTGAGAAAGATTTTACTACATTTTTTATAAAATCATTTTAATTTTTTAATAAAATTTTAATGTCTGTTTTATTACAATTAAAATGAGATATCATTGATCAAAATAGGTTAAAAATTTAAGAAGTTATTAAAGTTTTTCTAAAACTTTTCATATTCTTTTATAAACCTAGATTTTGAAGTAAATTTTTTAAACTTTTTTCTATAAAATCGTATTAATTTTTAATATAAAATTTCAAACCCTGTTTTATTCCGCTTTTATTCTTTTATAAACCTAGATTTTGAAGTAAATTTTTTAAACTTTTTTTCTATAAAATCATATTAATTTTTTAATAAAGTTTCAAACCTTGTTTTATTCCGCTTAAAATTACATATCATTCATCAAAATCGGTTGAAATTTGAAGAAGTTATTCAAGTTTTTCTAAAACTTTTCATATTCTTTTATAAACCTTGATTTGATAAAGATTTTTTAAACTTTTTTCTATAAAATCGTATTAATTTTTTAATAAAATTTCAAACCTTGTTCTATTCCGCTTAAAATGACATATCATTCATCAAAATCGATTCAAAAGTACAGAAATTATTAAAGTTTTTCTAAAACTTGTCATATATTTTATATTGCTTAAGGTAATGTTTCATTTCATTGCCTACTTTTAGGCAATAATATTACAAATGTAATATAACCAAAAGTTGTTTTAGTAAAATTAACATATTTTCTATAATTTACAACCGATTTGGAAAATTTAAAAGTCGTAATATTCAGAACAAATGTGGCTTTAAAATAAGCTATACAAATATTTATAGTTTCATAGAAAAAATTTAAACTAGAGCAAGGCAAAGTCAAAAAATATAAATGAATTTAAATTTATACACAATAAATAAAATAGCAGGCAATTATTAAATAAAGAAATGTGCTAAAAAAAAGAGAAAATATAAACATTTAAACAAAATAATTTTTCTTCAAATAATATTTCAGTTTTTTTGTTTTTGTCTCTTAGTTACATTTAGTTTGAAACAATATCAAACAATACATACGTCTCTAAAAAGATGATTTTGGTGCTGTATTGGATGAAGTTGGTGCTGTAGTGAATTTACAACAACAGTAGTAGGCTGAGGTGGTAGTGGTGGTTGTGGTGGTGGTGGTAGTGCAGTAGAACGATTATTGTTATTATTATTATTATTAATTATATTTGCATTATTAAAATTATTATTATTTAAAATAGTTGTAGTTGTATTGTTATTAGTATTGTTGGTGCCATTGTTATTGTTGCTATTACAATTAGTATTACTATTGAACTGTAAAGAGGCCAATGAAGGGGCCATTGAGACAGCTGTTACAGCGGCTGGTGGAGCAGCACAATTTATAAATTGTGTATGCTGATGAAGATGATTACCCAATTGAGCTGGTGGCGGTGGTGGTGCCATTAAGATTTGTTGATGTCCAGCTGCAGAGGCTGTGGGATAACCATTCAATATAACCAACTGAGGACAATTGTTAGTGGGTGGTGGTGTCAACATGTTAGATGCAGTAGGATTTATTATGGTCATTGTTGTAGGATTAAGAGTCATTGTGGTATTCAATAATTTATTGGGATTATGAGTGCTGTTATTATTGTTATTGCCTTGATTAGCATTGACAATTTGTGTATTAGAGCCATCATTAATCATTTTAGTCTTGGCAAATTCTATACGTATAGAGCCACGATCTGAAGATAGTAAATATTTGCCCTGTAATTGTTGCATGGCAGCAGCAGCACTATTTGCATCTTTAAACTCAATAAATGCTACAGGATGATTAGCATTAGTTGTTGTTGCTGTTAAATTTCCGCCCGACAAAGTGCTTACATTTCCGGTAGCATTATTATAATTGTTAAAATGTTGTTGTTGTTGTTGCTGTTGTATTATTTGCTGCTGCTGCTGCTGTTGTAGACTATTTAAATGTCCGGCTCCGGTTCCAGTAGCTGCTGCTAAAGTGTTGTTGGAAGAATTTGTGCTACAACTTGTTGATGTATTGTTGTTGGTGGTATTGGTTGTGTTAGAATTATTTGTGAGAGTGTTGGACGTGTTATTAGTAGTAGTAGTAGTAGTAGAAGAAGTGATGGAAGTAGTAGTAGAAGAAGAAGTGATATTGTGCGTACCTTTTGTGTGCATTCGTAGGCGACAAAAGCCAGGCATACTGTGCATATTGTAATTTGATTTTTTTTAAATTTTTGTATTTTTTAGGATTGTTTAAAAAATTCAAATAAAAATGGTTAATTTGGTTAAATTATTGTTTTTTTTGGGTTTTTTGTAGGTTGTGTTTATAATGTTTTTATATTTGTGTTGATTTTTTAAGAAATATTAAAATAAGATAAATGAGGAATGAGTTAAAGAAATCATTTATAATTGAAATTTTTGTTATTTTTAATAAATATTAATAATAGAGCAAAAGAAGTTTTAAATCAAATTTTCGTATTTTTTTAAAAAAAGTATAAAATCTGAAAATTTGTTAAAAAACTACTTTTTGTACTTTTCTTAAATATCAAAACAAGTTTTTATAGTATATTTCTTAGTATTCTATTTTCTAAATATTTTATAAATTAAACCTAAATTCATAAATTACATGGTAATAAAAGAGAATTTAGAATTTTTTGAGAAAAATCTGCAAAATTTGCAATTTTATTTTGAAAAAGTACTTTTTTTAGTACTTTTTTTTTAATAACTTTTAGCTCTATTATTAATTTATATTTTCCCTAAAATTTCTTAAATGAAATGTGCATTTTTCACCTAAATAAACTTACATACTATTATTTAAATGTTTTGTCAACAATAAGTGCAACATTTTCTTTAGTTTTAACAAGTGTTAGTGTGTGTATGTTAAAAATCTGGTGAATAGTTTGTTTTAACAAAACTAAATAAGAAAAACACAAAACATAAACTTAAACTTACCTAGAGAATACTTCTTTGAGTTCATGTTCTGAAACAAATTGTCCCAGATTGGCTACAAATAAAGTCGAACATGGTGCATTGGCAGCCAAAGGTGGATTATTAGGATGCGTTGCATTATTTGTAGAACCAACTGGGCTCGCTAGAGCGGGACTTGATAAAAAAGGATGATGTGATGGATGACCACCGGACTGGTGAGCAGCACCAGCCGGACCAGTAGCGGCACCACTAGGTGGTAAACCGGCAGCCGCAGCTGCAGCAGCGGCGGCGGCAGCAGCAGACATATGCATATTAGGATGTATAGCTGTTGTTTGTTGATGATGTTGCGGCATTGTCATTTGAGTCTGTTTAAAAAGAAATTTAAATTATAAAAAATATTTTGTTCTTTTCTAATTAAATATAAAAAACCTACTTGATGCATAGGCTGCTCCATAACTTTGTCTGTATTTAGTCAAAGATAAGAGCGCACTGGCACTTGAGGATGCAGTGCCGGATGTACTAGTGTAGCATGTTGTAGAGCCGCAGCTCCGGGTAATTCAGCGGCGGCAGCCGAATATGCTAACGGATGATGCCATAGCTCGGGTCCGCCCGGAAAGAAGGGCCCACCCAAATCTACAGGTTGATTATGAGAAAGAAAATAATTGTCTTTTGTTAAAAAACAATCCAAAAAAGAAAAAGGGAAATAAAATTTTGATAAATTATCAGAAGTATAAAAAGAATGGTATTGGTATTTTTAATTACATTTTATTATTATTATTATTTGTTTGTAAAGGAAACACAAAAAATTTTTGGTTAAACACAAATATAAGCGCATTTTTTTTATGTATACAATTTTAAAATTTTGTATCTTTTATTTGATATACACAAGAATTTAAGACAATTTTTAAATTATTTATAACATTTTTATTGTTTTTTTTTTTAATAATATTTACAAAATGTTTTAAAGTTGATGTCGAACTTGTGTTGAAATTGTTTTAAGTTTGTTAATGGAAAATTAAGCAAGAATTGTTTAACAATTTGGTCATTACAGTGGGCCCACCTAGGATTTTAGTTTCACTTCTAGTTCAGTGATAGTACCGTTCTAGTTCAGTTGTAATTCAGTTCTAGTTCAGTGATAGTTCCGTTCGAGTTCACTTTTAGTTCAGTTGTAATTCAGTTCTAGTTCAGTTCTAGTTCAGTTCTAGTTCAGTTCTAGTTCAGTTCTAGTTCAGTTCTAGTTCAGTTCTAGTTCAGTTCTAGTTCAGTTCTAGTTCAGTTCTAGTTCAGTTCTAGTTCAGTTCTAGTTCAGTTCTAGTTCAGTTTTAGTTCAGTTTTAGTTCAGTTCTAGTTCAGTTCTAGTTCAGTTCTAGTTCAGTTCTAGTTCAGTTCTAGTTCAGTTCTAGTTCAGTTCTAGTCAGTTCTAGTTCAGTTTTAGTTCAGTTCTAGTTCAGTTCTAGTTCAGTTCTAGTTCAGTTCTAGTTCAGTTCTAGTTCAGTTCTAGTTCAGTTCTAGTTCAGTTCTAGTTCAGTTCTAGTTCAGTTCTAGTTCAGTTCTAGTTCAGTTCTAGTTCAGTTCTAGTTCAGTTCTAGTTCAGTTCTAGTTCAGTTCTAGTTCAGTTCTAGTTCAGTTCTAGTTCAGTTCTAGTTCAGTTCTAGTTCAGTTCTAGTTCAGTTCTAGTTCAGTTCTAGTTCAGTTCTAGTTCAGTTCTAGTTCAGTTCTAGTTCAGTTCTAGTTCAGTTCTAGTTCAGTTCTAGTTCAGTTCTAGTTCAGTTCTAGTTCAGTTCTAGTTCAGTTCTAGTTCAGTTCTAGTTCAGTTCTAGTTCAGTTCTAGTTCAGTTCTAGTTCAGTTCTAGTTCAGTTCTAGTTCAGTTCTAGTTCAGTTCTAGTTCAGTTCTAGTTCAGTTCTAGTTCAGTTCTAGTTCAGTTCTAGTTCAGTTCTAGTTCAGTTCTAGTTCAGTTCTAGTTCAGTTCTAGTTCAGTTCTAGTTCAGTTCTAGTTCAGTTCTAGTTCAGTTCTAGTTCAGTTCTAGTTCAGTTCTAGTTCAGGTTCTAGTTCAGTTCTAGTTCAGTTCCAGTTCAGTTCTAGTTCAATTCTAGTTCAATTCTAGTTCAGTTCTAGTTCAGTTCTAGTTCAGTTCTAGTTCAGTTCTAGTTCAGTTCTAGTTCAGTTCTAGTTCAGTTCTGGTTCAGTTCTAGTTAAGTTCTAGTTCAGTTCTAGTTGAGTTCTAGTTGAGTTCTAGTTCAGTTCTAGTTCAGTTCTAGTTCAGTTCTAGTTCAGTTCTAGTTGAGTTCTAGTTCAGTTCTAGTTCAGTTCTAGTTCAGTTCTAGTTCAGTTCTAGTTCAGTTCTAGTTCAGTTCTAGTTCAGTTCTGGTTCAGTTCTAGTTCAGTTCTAGTTCAGTTCTAGTTGAGTTCTAGTTGAGTTCTAGTTCAGTTCTAGTTCAGTTCTAGTTCAGTTCTAGTTCAGTTCTAGTTCAGTTCTAGTTCAGTTCTAGTTCAGTTCTAGTTCAGTTCTAGTTCAGATCTAGTTCAGTTCTAGTTCAGTTCAAGTTCAGTTCTAGTTCAGTTCTAGTTCAGTTCTTGTTCAGTTCGAGTTCAGTTTTAGTTCAGTTCTAGTTCAGTTTTAGTTCAGTTCTAGTTCAGTTCTAGTTCAGTTCTAGTTCAGTTCTAGTTCAGTTCTAGTTCAGTTCTAGTTCAGTTCTAGTTCAGTTCTAGTTCAGTTCTAGTTCAGATCTAGTTCAGTTCTAGTTCAGTTCAAGTTCAGTTCTATTTCAGTTCTAGTTCAGTTCTTGTTCAGTTCGAGTTCAGTTCTAGTTCAATTCTAGTTCAGTTCTAGTTCAGTTCTAGTTCAGTTCTAGTTCAGTTCTAGTTCAGTTCTAGTTCAGTTCTAGTTCAGTTCTAGTTCAGTTCTAGTTCAGTTCTAGTTCAATTCTAGTTCAGTTCTAGTTCAGTTCTAGTTCAGTTCTAGTTCAGTTCTAGTTGAGTTCTAGTTCAGTTCTAGTTCAGTTCTAGTTCAATTCTAGTTCAATTCTAGTTCAGTTCAAGTTCAGTTCTAGTTCAGTTCTAGTTCAGTTCTAGTTCAGTTCTAGTTCAGTTCTAGTTCAGTTCTAGTTCAGTTCTAGTTCAGTTCTAGTTCAGTTCTAGTTCAGTTCTAGTTCAGTTCTAGTTCAGTTCTAGTTCAGTTCTAGTTCAGTTCTAGTTCAGTTCTAGTTCAGTTCTAGTTCAGTTCTAGTTCAGTTCTAGTTCAGTTCTAGTTCAGTTCTAGTTCAGTTCTAGTTCAGTTCTAGTTCAGTTCTAGTTCAGTTCTAGTTCAGTTCTAGTTCAGTTCTAGTTCAGTTCTAGTTCAGTTCTAGTTCAGTTCTAGTTCAGTTCTAGTTCAGTTCTAGTTCAGTTCTAGTTCAGTTCTAGTTCAGTTCTAGTTCAGTTCTAGTTCAGTTCTGGTTAATTATAGAACATTTTCAGTTCATTTTGTTGTTTATTTAAATCCTTGTTAACATGTGCCTTAAGTCTTTAGTTTAGCTAAAAAATTGTGTTCGTGTTTTAAGTCTTTTAAATTAGTTTTTTTTTTTTTTCACAAAAAATCATGTTTACGTCTTAAGTCTTTTGAGTTATTGTTTGTTTACAAACAGATCAAGCGTGTATGTGCTTTAAGTATTTTACTCTGGCTTTCCTCTCTTAAAAAAACTTTAAATTTTTGTGTCTTAAGTCTTTTATTTAGTTCACAGACAGATCAAACATGTATGCGTTTAAAGTCTTTTAGTCACGCTCTCCTCTGTTTAGAAAAAACGCTCTTACTCTTAATGTTTGTATCTTAAGTCTTTTATTATTTACTTTTGGTTTTCTTTTCTTTAAGGGGAATTTAATTTTTTCGTTTACTATAGTGTACAGAGAGAGTATGTATGTGTGTGTGTAAGTGTATTGAATAAAGTGTTTGTTTTTGGTGTGTTTTTTTTTTATAAAGTGTCAATAGTGTTGTTGAAGTTGTTTTTTGTATTTTTAAATATTTATTAAAGGTGACAAGTGATTTATATTATAGTTTTTTTTTAATATTTTGTTCAGATTTAAAGTGCTTACAATATTTAGTAATGCAGAGGATTGGTTTAGTTTTTAGTATATTGAAAGGAGACATGGTTTTATTTAGAGTTTTCAATTTAAGTTTTTTTCTTATTTAATAAATAAAAATCTTGGTGCTAGATTGGTTTTCTTGTCTTATTTAATTAAGCTGATTTCCAGTAAGATAAATTACTAAAGGAGTAAATTTATCCAACATTTAATTATTGTTATTATTTCTGTTCAACAAAAAGGTTAAAAGTGCGCTTTTTATTTAAAAAAAAAATGTCAATTATATTTTATGTATCACAAACCAAATATTTTTGTACAAGGAAAATTAAAATAATAAGATAAAAACTAAAAAAACACTACTACATATAACATTACAAAAAATAAAAATCAAATACTAATTAACAAAAAAACAAAAAAAAAAAAAAATAGTAGAGTTTTGTTTATTTTGTTTTTTTTACTTAAAGTTTACTTACGTCCAGTGAGTGGGTGCATCAATGCAGGATGTGAGGCTGTTGTCGCTGTATTGGGCTGTGGTTTGGGTTTGCTCACTTTCGTGTTACTCTTGGCGAATTCCAAGCGTATTGTTTGGGGCATATCGGGATCGAAGCGTACACCCTGCTGTAAATTTAATAATACAGCGGTTTGTTCAGTTTTTCAGTGAAATAATTAGTGTTTTTTTTTTGTTTTAAAAGAAAATTTTTAATTGTAAGATATTTTGTATTTTTTTTTTCAGAGAAAGTAAGAAAATTTGGAATATTTTGTTATTTTTTTCTTAAAATGTTTGTCGTTTTCAATGTCTTAACAATTCGCCAAAAATAATTTTTATATTTTACTTTGCATTTTGTTTACTTGTTGTTGGTGGTGTTTGAACTATTTAATTGTTTAAAAAAGGTTTCCTTTTTAAGGGTTTTATTGGTAGAAGGATTTTTGTAGTGGTCCTTTTATCGTTATAAAATTTATTATACTTTTTAGGTGCTTAAAAAAGGGGGTCTTTTGTAAAAATTTAGTTTTTTACTAAATTAAAATGTTAAAAAATGTGCTAGGAAAATATTGAAAAAAAAAAAAATTAATGATTTTCTAAATTTTATGGATATGGATATACTGAAAGAAAATTTAGATTTTAACATTTTTTGTAACTTAATTTGAGTTCTATTTCAGTTCTAGTTTAGTTCTAGTTCAATTCTAGTTTAGTTCTAGTTCAGTTCTAGTTCAGTTCTAGTTCAGTTCTAGTTCAGTTCTAGTTCAGTTCTAGTTCAGTTCTAGTTCAGTTCTAGTTCAGTTCTACTTCAGTTCTAGATCAGTTCTAGTTCAGTTCTAGTTCAGTTCTAGTTCAGTTCTAGTTCAGTTCTAGTTCAGTTCTAGTTCAGTTCTAGTTCAGTTCTAGTTCAGTTCTAGTTCAGTTCTAGTTCAGTTCTAGTTCAGTTCTAGTTCAGTTCTAGTTCAGTTCTAGTTCAGTTCTAGTTCAGTTCTAGTTCAGTTCTAGTTCAGTTTCTAGTTCAGTTCTAGTTCAGTTCTAGTTCAGTTCTAGTTCAGTTCTAGTTCAGTTCTAGTTCAGTTCTAGTTCAGTTCTAGTTCAGTTCTAGTTCAGTTCTAGTTCAGTTCTAGTTCAGTTCTAGTTCAGTTCTAGTTCAGTTCTAGTTCAGTTCTAGTTCAGTTCTAGTTCAGTTGTAGTTCAGTTGTAGTTCAGTTGTAGTTCAGTTCTAGTTCAGTTCTAGTTCAGTTGTAGTTCAGTTCTAGTTCAGTTCTAGTTCAGTTCTAGTTCAGTTGTAGTTCAGTTGTAGTTCAGTTGTAGTTCAGTTGTAGTTCAGTTCTAGTTCAGTTCTAGTTCAGTTCTAGTTCAGTTCTAGTTTAGTTCCAGTTTAGTTCTAGTCAGTTCAGTTCTAGTTCAGTTCTAGTTCAGTTCTAGTTCAGTTCTAGTTCAGTTCTAGTTCAGTTCTAGTTCAGTTGTAGTTCAGTTGTAGTTCAGTTGTAGTTCAGTTGTAGTTCAGTTGTAGTTCAGTTCTAGTTCAGTTCTAGTTCAGTTCTAGTTCAGTTCTAGTTCAGTTCTAGTTCAGTTCTAGTTCAGTTGTAGTTCAGTTGTAGTTCAGTTGTAGTTCAGTTGTAGTTCAGTTGTAGTTCAGTTTCTAGTTCAGTTCTAGTTCAGTTCTAGTTCAGTTCTAGTTCAGTTCTAGTTTAGTTCCAGTTAGTTCTAGTTCAGTTATAGTTCAGTTCTAGTTCAGTTCTAGTTCAGTTCTAGTTCAGTTCTAGTTCAGTTCTAGTTCAGTTCTAGTTCAGTTCTAGGTTCAGTTCTAGTTCAGTTCTAGTTCTGTTCCAGTTCAGTTCTAGTTCTAGTTCAGTTCTAGTTCAGTTCTAGTTCAGTTCTAGTTCAGTCTAGTTCAGTTCTAGTTCAGTTCTAGTTCAGTGTTCTAGTTCAGTTCTAGTTCAGTTCTAGTTCAGTTCTAGTTCAGTTCTAGTTCAGTTCTAGTTCAGTTCTAGTTCAGTTCTAGTTCAGTTCTAGTTCAGTTCTAGTTCAGTTCTAGTTCAGTTCTAGTTCAGTTCTAGTTCAGTTCTAGTTCAGTTCTAGTTCAGTTCTAGTTCTAGTTCTAGTTCTAGTTCTAGTTCAGTTCTAGTTCAGTTCTAGTTCAGTTCTAGTTCAGTCTAGTTCAGTTCTAGTTCAGTTCTAGTTCAGTTCTAGTTCAGTTCTAGTTCAGTTCTAGTTCAGTTCTAGTTCAGTTCTAGTTCAGTTCTAGTTCAGTTCTAGTTCAGTTCTAGTTCAGTTCTAGTTCAGTTCTAGTTCAGTTCTAGTTCAGTTCTAGTTCAGTTCAGTTCAGTTCTAGTTCAGTTCTAGTTCAGTTCTAGTTCAGTTCTAGTTCAGTTCTAGTTCAGTTCTAGTTCAGTTCTAGTTCAGTTCTAGTTCAGTTCTAGTTCAGTTCTAGTTCAGTTCTAGTTCAGTTCTAGTTCAGTTCTAGTTCAGTTCTAGTTCATTCTAGTTCAGTTTTTTTCAGTTCTAGCTCAATTCTACTTCAGCTTCGATCTGATCAAAATCAGTATATATAATGTTTATTTTTTTCTTGTGGAGAACTTCCAAAATTTGGAACAATGCGATATTGGAAATTTCAAAATTGTTCCAGATCTTCTACATCAGGGAAAATCTCCTCTTTTTTTAACACGATCACTCTCTTTAACAAAACCCTAAACCCTTGTAGACGGTGTAAAAATGGTGCCAAATGAAGAGAATTGACTTAAAGTAGAAACACATTCATATAGTGACTTTTTGCTACTGCAAGCACTCTAGCTCTAATTTAACCCCTCATTAGTTGATTATAAACCCCATAAATACAAGAAATAATCCATAAATGCAGTGATTTAAATAAATGTAAAGGAAAAATATAAAAGAAAACTTCAAACTATAGTAATTTATTTAAATAGTATAAATGAAAGCAAAATAAAAGTGTTTTTTATATTTTGAATAAAAATAGTAAATTACAGAACCATACATATCCGTTAAAGTGGGCAAGGCAATATATATGTAAATAGTTATCAGATTTTATCTAAAAGATAAATACAGTTAGATTTATCATTTGATATTTAAGTGGGTGCTATACAAAATGCGTGACGTTGTTTGGTTTTTTTTGGTACCGTTGACAGTTTTTTGTTTTAGATAAAAAATACTTAATACACTAGAGGTCAAAAGGGGGCGGGAAAACAACAAAGATTCATATATATTCATAATACTCATATTATATGTAGTATAATTTAACCAAATAATGTTTTTCTTTGGAAAGTGTGTATTATGTGTTCTTTTAAATGTGTGTAAGTGAAAGAGAAATTGTGTATTTTCAACAAAATTCTGTAAAGAAAATTTTGCGTTTTTTTTCTTAATGTAACATTCTCATTTAATGTCAAACATTCAGTTTTTTAAGGACTATTTTTATATAGTTATATGTAAAAGAAATTATATTGCAAAAGTGTTGTGCCAGTTGGTTTGTTGTTTTGTTGAATTTGTTTTAATTGATTTTGATGGGTGTTGTTTGTTGTTAAACTGTTTATTTTTTAAATTTTTGTTGTCTTTTATAATATTATAAAAGTTTTTGAACTTTCTTGAAAGTGGGGACTTTTTTAACTTTTTATATATAGTTTTTTTTTGCAATGAATTTGCTAAAGGTTATACAAAATAGTTTACAATTTTTAATTTTAGTTTACTTAAACTTAAGTTAGTTATTTAAAAAATGTAATTATTACCTGTAAATCTTGTTTAGCGGCTTCTGCGCCAGCTCGAGTATGGAATGTTACAAAGCCAACAGGCTAAAGGAAATAGAGAGGAGAGAGAGAGAAAAAGTTTATTCAACTAAGATTATAGTGGGTTTAGAAGGTGCTGTTAGAAACGTCATACTTACCGATGCAGTTTTACCATTTTTACTTGTTACTTTTAAAAGAGATCCTTCATAACCCTAAAATTAAAGATTAATAAAATTCATTAAATATATTTAAATATTAAAATAATTCTAATTCTGATCTAGTTCTGTTCTAGTTCTGTTCTATCGTTCTGTTCTAGTTCTGTTCTAGTTCTGTTCTAGTTCTGTTCTAGTTCTGTTCTAGTTCTGGTTCTAGTTCTGTTCTAGTTCTGTTCTAGTTTCGGTTCTAGTTCTGTTCTAGTTTCTGTTCTAGTTCTGTTCCAGTTCTGTTCTAGTTCTGTTCTAGTTCTGTTCTAGTTTCTGTTCCGTTCTGTTCTAGTTCTGTTTCTAGTTCTCTGTTCTAGTTCTGTTCTAGTTCTGTTCTAGTTCGGTTCTAGTTCTGTTCGAGTTCTGTTCTAGTTCGTTCTAGTTCTAGTTCGAGTTCTGTTCTAGTTCTGTTCTAGTTCTGTTCTAGTTCTGTTCTAGTTCTGTTCTGTTTCTAGGTTAGTTCTGTTCTAGTTCTGTTCTAGTTCTGTTCTAGTTCTGTTCTAGTTCTGTTCTAGTTCTGTTCTGTTTCTAGTTCTGTTCTAGTTGTTCTAGTTCTGTTCTAGTTCTGTTCTAGTTCTGTTCTAGTTCTGTTCTAGTTTCTAGTTCTGTTCTAGTTTCTGTTCTAGTTCTGTTCTAGTTCTGTTCTAGTTCTGTTCTAGTTCTGTTCTAGTTCTGTTCTAGTTCTGTTCTAGTTCTGTTCTAGTTCTGTTCTAGTTCTGTTCTGTTCTAGTTCTGTTCTAGTTCTGTTCTGTTCTGTTCTAGTTCTGTTCTAGTTCTGTTCTAGTTCTGTTCTAGTTCTGTTCTAGTTCTGTTCTAGTTCTGTTCTAGTTCTGTTCTAGTTCTGTTCTAGTTCTGTTCTAGTTCTGTTCTAGTTCTGTTCTAGTTCTGTTCTAGTTCTGTTCTAGTTCTTTCTAGTTCTGTTCTAGTTCTGTTCTAGTTCTGTTCTAGTTCTGTTCTAGTTCTGTTCTAGTTCTGTTCTAGTTCTGTTCTAGTTCTGTTCTAGTTCTGTTCTAGTTCTGTTCTAGTTCTGTTCTAGTTCTGTTCTAGTTCTGTTCTAGTTCTGTTCTAGTTCTGTTCTAGTTCTGTTCTAGTTCTGTGTTCTAGTTCTGTTCTAGTTCTGTTCTAGTTCTGTTCTAGTTATGTTCTAGTTCTGTTCTAGTTCTGTTCTAGTTCTGTTCTAGTTCTGTTCTAGTTCTGGTTCTAGTTCTGTTCTAGTTCTGTTCTAGTTCTGTTCTAGTCTGTTCTAGTTCTGTTCTAGTTCTGTTCTAGTTCTGTTCTAGTTCTGTTCTAGTTCTAGTTCTAGTTCTGTTCTAGTTCTGTTCTAGTTCTGTTCTAGTTCTGTTCTAGTTCTTGTTCTAGTTCTGTTCTAGTTCTGTTCTAGTTCTGTTCTAGTTCTGTTCTAGTTCTGTTCTAGTTCTGTTCTAGTTCTGTTCTAGTTCTGTTCTAGTTCTGTTCTAGTTCTGTTCTAGTTCTGTTTCTAGTTCTGTTCTAGTTCTGTTCTAGTTCTGTTCTAGTTCTGTTCTAGTTCTGTTCTAGTTCTGTATAGTCTAGTTCTGTTCTAGTTCTGTTCTAGTTCTGTTCTAGTTCTGTTCTAGTTCTGTTCTAGTTCTGTTCTAGTTCTGTTCTAGTTCTGTTCTAGTTCTGTTCTAGTTCTGTTCTAGTTCTGTTCTAGTTCTGTTCTAGTTCTGTTCTAGTTCTGTTCCAGTTCTGTTATAGTTCTGTTCTAGTTCTGTTCTAGTTCTGTTCTAGTTCTGTTCCAGTTCTGTTCTAGTTCAGTTCTAGTTCTGTTCTAGTTCAGTTCTAGTTCTTTTCTATTTCTGTTCTAATTTTGTTCTAATTCTGTTCTAGTTCCTGTTTAGTTCTAATTCTTTTCTAGTTCTGTTCTGGTCTTGTTCTAGTTGTATTCTAATTGTGTAATTTCTTTTTTGTACTTTTTTTTAGAGTAAACTTACCTCATAAGCTCTAAATAATAAATATAGTTCACGTGGCTTAGCATCCATGGGCAAACCACTCACAAACAGAGTGCGAACCTACAACGAAAATAATAAAAAAAGTTATTAGAATTTTAAACAAGATTTTTCTTAATTAAAGTATTTAAAATAATTTAAATAAAGCATACAAAGAAAAGTTTTCAGAAGAACCGAATAAGATTAAATAAAATGTTTTTCATAAATTCCACATAAGTCCTTTTGTTACAACAACGTTGATCTTTATAATTGTCTTAGTTGTAAGCCAAAAAAAGTCAGCCTCATTTTAGGCATGATTATGATTAATATAAAAAATGTCTATGTGAACACCTAATTAGCGTAACCAACCATGTGAAATGGGAAAATATTTGCATACTCTGACAAAAAGAAAACACACACACATATATAACGCAGTGATACTTGAACATTACAAAAGTTCATATTCCTTATTTTTTTGCGGTAAAGCAAAAAAAAAAAATAAACGAGAAACAGATAAAAATCTCTGGGTTAACAGACTTCAACCCCATGATTAAGCAAAAAAACCCGAAGGAAGTAGAATACTCAACCTCTAACCTGATTTTACATTTTTTTTTTATCACAAACTCATCATCGTATAAGTATGAATGTAGTGTAAATGTTGAACGAGGAGCAAAAAAAGAAATATCATCATGTTAATGGTAATGAAGCCAAATTGTGAATGAGGTGAAAAATATATGTATGTGTACGTATGCATGTTTAAAAGTATATGAACTAATATATACATATACTTAGATGAACATACATGTAGTGAAATGTAAAAGATATACATATGTAGGTACTTGAGCACTGAGTGACTGCCAAATTACAATTAGAGCGTTAGGCGGTAAAGAAAACAAAACAGCTGCTGTTTCCCTAAATTAATATAATATTGATCACTTTGTTTACCAAACTACCTCTTAGTAATGCAGCTAATGTATAGTAGTCATTGAAAAGCATCTTATTCGCCGTCTGCCGCTTTAAATGTAACTCTTAATCTCTTGTGCTTATTTTGTGGAAAAGTACCTGGTTAAAAATAATAATGTTGCTAGCGAATTCATTAAGGATATGCGAATTTTTCTACGTTTATTTTATTTCCACATTTTTTTCTGAAGTGAAGGTATTTTCTTTTTTTAATTTTTTTGCTTCTGTTTTTATTTTTAAAATAACTATAAGTTTAACGATTTTTTTTGACGCTGCCACCATTTAAGTAATTTTAGTAGAGAGGGTGGCTTGTGTGTGCCCAAGAATTAACATGACAAGTTTTAAAGCTATGAAGTTGGTACGTTGTTGTTTTTTTTTTTTTGGAGGAGCGCGAAATTAAAACGTGTTTTATCGTTAAATCTTTTTACGGGATTTTTTTGTGTAATTTCGTAATGTTTGTCACACCCGCATAAAGTGAAGAAAAAAAAAACCGATGACGACATGTTGCTGCTTTCCTTTTTATCAACAACACCATTATTAGTATCAACTGAAAAACCTGCTGTTTGTAAATTAGTAGAGAAAAATCGTAAAATATTTTTATGTTGAAAATTAATGAATTCTTGTGTCAAGAAGTAACTGATTTAAACTTGACAGTTATAGATGGTTTTAAATAGGTAAGAATTTTTTTGAAATCGATATATCGCGTTGTTGTTGTTGTCTTGCCAATAAGCCTTATTAATGTTTAGTTTTAAATTGTAGTTCTAGTTCAGTTCTAGTTCAGTTCTAGTTCAGTTCTAGTTCAGTTCTAGTTCAATTCTAGTTCAGTTCTAGTTCAGTTCTAGTTCAGTTCTAGTTCAGTTCTAGTTCAGTTCTAGTTCAGTTCTAGTTCAGTTCTAGTTCAGTTCTAGTTCAGTTCTAGTTCAGTTCTCAGTTCTAGTTCAGTTCTAGTTCAGTTCTAGTTCAGTTCTAGTTCAGTTTAGTTCAGTTCTAGTTTCAGTTCTAGTTCAGTTTCTAGTTCAGTTCTAGTTCAGTTCTAGTTCAGTTCTAGTTCAGTTCTAGTTCAGTTCTAGTTCAGTTCTAGTTCAGTTCTAGTTCAGTTCTAGTTCAGTTCTAGTTCAGTTCTAGTTCAGTTCTAGTTCAGTTCTAGTTCAGTTCTAGTTCAGTTCTAGTTCAGTTCTAGTTCAGTTCTAGTTCAGTTCTAGTTCAGTTCTAGTTCAGTTCTAGTTCAGTTCTAGTCAGTTCTAGTTCAGTTCTAGTTCAGTTCTAGTTCAGTTCTAGTTCAGTTCTAGTTCAGTTCTAGTTCAGTTCTAGTTCAGTTCTAGTTCAGTTCTAGTTCAGTTCTAGTTCAGTTCTAGTTCAGTTCTAGTTCAGTTCTAGTTCAGTTCTAGTTCAGTTCTAGTTCAGTTCTAGTTGTTCTAGTTCAGTTCTAGTTCAGTTCTAGTTCAGTTCTAGTTCAGTTTAGTTCAGTTCTAGTTCAGTTCTAGTTCAGTTTAGTTCAGTTCTAGTTCAGTTCTAGTTCAGTTCTAGTTCAGTTCTAGTTCAGTTCTAGTTCAGTTCTAGTTCAGTTCTAGTTCAGTTCTAGTTCAGTTCTAGTTCAGTTCTAGTTCAGTTCTAGTTCAGTTCTAGTTCAGTTCTAGTTCAGTTCTAGTTCAGTTCTAGTTCAGTTCTAGTTCAGTTCTAGTTCAGTTCTAGTTCAGTTCTAGTTCAGTTCTAGTTCAGTTCTAGTTCAGTTCTAGTTCAGTTCTAGTTCAGTTCTAGTCAGTTCTAGTTCAGTTCTAGTTCAGTTCTAGTTCAGTTCTAGTTCAGTTCTAGTTCAGTTCTAGTTCAGTTCTAGTTCAGTTCTAGTTCAGTTCTAGTTCAGTTCTAGTTCAGTTCTAGTTCAGTTCTAGTTCAGTTCTAGTTCAGTTCTAGTTCAGTTCTAGTTCAGTTCTAGTTCAGTTCTAGTTCAGTTCTAGTTCAGTTCTAGTTCAGTTCTAGTTCAGTTCTAGTTCAGTTCTAGTTCAGTTCTAGTTCAGTTCTAGTTCAGTTCTAGTTCAGTTCTAGTTCAGTTCTAGTTCAGTTCTAGTTCAGTTCTAGTTCAGTTCTAGTTCAGTTCTAGTTCAGTTCTAGTTCAGTTCTAGTTCAGTTCTAGTTCAGTTCTAGTTCAGTTCTAGTTCAGTTCTAGTTCAGTTGTAGTTCAGTTCTAGTTCAGTTCTAGTTCAGTTCTAGTTCAGTTCTAGTTCAGTTCTAGTTCAGTTTCTAGTTCAGTTATAGTTCAGTTCTAGTTCAGTTCTAGTTCAGTTCTAGTTCAGTTCTAGTTCAGTTCTAGTTCAGTTCTAGTTCAGTGCTAGTTCATTTCTAGTTCAGTTCTAGTTCAGTTCTAGTTCAGTTCTAGGTCAGTTTAGTTCAGTTCTAGTTCAGTTCTAGTTCATTCTAGTTCAGTTCTAGTTCAGTTCTAGTCAGTTCTAGTTCAGTTCTAGTTCAGTTCTAGTTCAGTTCTAGTTCAGTTCTAGTTCAGTTCTAGTTCAGTTCTAGTTCAGTTCTAGTTCAGTTCTAGTTCAGTTCTAGTTCAGTTCTAGTTCAGTTCTAGTTCAGTTCTAGTTCAGTTCTAGTCAGTTCTAGTTCAGTTCTAGTTCAGTTCTAGTTCAGTTCTAGTTCAGTTCTAGTTCAGTTCCTAGTTCAGTTCTAGTTCAGTTCTAGTTCAGTTCTAGTTCAGTTCTAGTTCAGTTCTAGTTCAGTTCTAGTTCAGTTCTAGTTCAGTTCTAGTTCCGTCTAGTTCAGTTCTAGTTCAGTTCTCTAGTTCAGTTCTAGTTCAGTTCTAGTTCAGTTCTAGTTTCAGTTCTAGTCAGTTCTAGTTCAGTTCTAGTTCAGTTCTAGTTCAGTTCTAGTTCAGTTCTAGTTCAGTTCTAGTTCAGTTCTAGTTCAGTTCTAGTTCAGTTCTAGTTCAGTTCTAGTTCAGTTCTAGTCAGTTCTAGTTAAGTTCAGGTTCAGTTCATAGTCAGGTTCTAGTTCGATTCTAGTTCAGTTCTAGTTCAGTTCTAGTTCTAGTTCAATTTTAATTATAGAGTAAAATCCAAACAATGCTTAAATGCATATAAGTATCCGGTTACCTTTGTAATTACCCCCGAACTCATTATAAACTTCCTAATAAGCTTATTCAAAAACATATTCACCAAAAACTGCATAACAAGTATTATAAAGTTAACTTGAAAAGTTTTTTACGCTTTAATACCCTCAACCGAAATAACAATTTTATTATATTACACAAGTCTTTTGTAATTCTTGTTATTATTTTTTAAAATAATTTTTTGCAAACTGCTTTAAGGTAAATCATACTTATACTATTAAATAACCACTCAGGTGGTCGGTACTATGCGAATACTATCACTTTTATGTATAGTTTTGTTACTAATAGATCTTACCATCTCTAGGGAAAGAGAGAGCGAGAACGTGGAAGAGAATAATAAACAAACGAATACAGAGACTCAAAACCACAAACGAGTAAAGTGTTAGAATAATAAACAATAAAGGTTTCTAATTTTAAAATATATGTATACATGTGTATGTGTAAGTATGTGTGAGACCAAGTGTTGCCAATGTATGTGTTACATACATATACATATTTCAATTACATAGAAAATTGTCTTGTTTAAACATGTTGCTTCATGCCAGTGCAAAACGTACATACTCGAGCAGCCAGTATATGGTGTCTGACCATAAAATAAGTCAAGCAAGTGTATAAAACAATATTGAATTAAATTGTCTTTTTTTACAATATTTTTCTGTTGCTATTGTTATTTTGTTGGTTTTGTTTTATATTTTCAAAAGGTATTATTTTACAAAGTAATGATCATGAATCATTTTTTGTGCTTTTTACTTGTTGGGCTTTACTTCCCTTCCTTAAAAAAAACTACACAAAATTAATTTATAAGTACAATGTTGTTCTACAATTTAATTATTCTATTCGAGAAAGATTTTGTGGTTTTTAGTAAAAGTATAACAATTTTATTAAATACATTTTACAACTTATTTAGTTTAGAACCCTTTAATTATAAAACAACTTAAGCAAATATACAGAGTATAATTATTTCTGAATACAATTTCGTTTTCGTATGCAAATATCTTAGTTTTTTACAATTAAGTTT